CCTCTCCTCTCCTCTCCTCTCCTTCTCTTCCTCTCACCCCCCACTCATCTAACACAACACCTGCTATGGTGTTGGTGTGTTTTCAGGTCCAGTTCAGGTACTCCAAAGCCTTGCGCAGTCACGTTGCAGTACTGACGCAGGATTCTGTATGTATAACATACTATTGTCCATTTTGGCCACGACAGGCTTCCATACTCAGAACGCTGTTGTGGTGACGAGGCACCACGGATTTTTCCTTTTTTACATCTTGCTTGTCAGTGCAACGATAGCGAGATATCTGCGGTGCAACGTTGAACTGTCAGGCTTCTTCTGGTCACAAGCGCGACATTTTCACTAACCGCTTCGATGATTGCACGGCAGTCTGGGGGTGACATGTCTGAAAAAGGCCACTGATAGCTTTCGTTTTTCATCTCCGACCAGGCGGACGATCCGCGAATGCGTCTCAAGTCGGTGTGACAACGGGCGTGCGCGGTGTTGTTGGCGCCTCATCGAACGGAAGCCAGATTTCCTGACCAAGTGCGCTCCATTTTGGCACGTTGTCAGGAGGCTAGGGCTGCTCCTGCTCGCTACGATGCGTGCGATGGCAGCCACGCAGGACGGCTCGGATCCAGATTACAATCTGTCACTGTGCTACTTGCAGTCGCACGGAGTGATCCTTTGGTCATATTTCTCTTTCAATCTTCCATCGCCTGTGCCAGGTACTCTGAACTACATGGAGTGCAGTTGGTTAAACGGACGTACAATGGAAGCTACACCCGCGCACTCTGTTCTCTCATTCCCTCACTCATTCCCTCAATCACGCACTGCTGCTTCTTTCACCTCACTGTCTCTTTCATTCACTTTTTTCGTCTCGTATCTTTCCGTCCTCCGTTCTGATCAGTCTCTACTTCTCATTACTACCACTTCTCACATACCACTCATCACACACCACTCATCTTACACCACTCATCACACACCATCATCACACACTACTCATCTTACACTACTCATCACACACCACTCATCACACACCACTCATCACACATCACTCATCTCACTCACTTTTATCGTCCAAGATCTTTCCGTCTTCTTTTCTTCTCAGTCTCTACTTCTCGTTGCTAGTTCTGACAAGCTTAACATGTGGGGTTATCCGGTCCTTTTATTTTCCTTCAAGGTTTGTTTGCGATTGGTTTTGGTTTTCGCTTCTTCATAAGGGTTTGTTTGGGCTTGGCTTATAGGGATTGTTCTTGTTCACGGTATTTTGGGCTTGGTTTAGGGCTTGACTTCTTTAGGGTTTGCTCGGGCTTGTTTTGGGCTTGACTTCTTTAGGGTTGTTTGCGCTTGCTTCAAGGCTTGATTTCTTTTAGGGTTTGTTTGGGCTTGCTTGATAGCCTCTGCAGACTGCAGTTACCAAGGAAAAAGAAGTGAGTCAGAGGTTTGACACGAGAGTGGCTGATCATCTAAGCGGAAAAAACGGGGAGGCGCCGCAATGTTTCAGGCAGGGTTTGAATCTTTTTTGCTCGCGCCGACAGTCTCCGATCCACTTGGTCTCCGGCTTGTGGTCCGGCGACGCGCGGCTTGGAATTTTCTGCTCGGTTTCTGCGCGGTCTCCGGTCTGATTGGAATTTTTTGGTGGCGTGGATAGTCTGGTCTCCGATCTGGGATCGAAATTTGGAATTATTGATAGCCTTGCCGTTTCTGGTCTCCGATCCGGAATGGAGTTTGGTCGCGCCGATGATCTCCAATCCGGTCGGACTTTGATCTGAAATTGAAATTTGGAATTTTGATGTTCTCCGATTCCGCGTTCCTGGTCCCAATCCAGTCTTTCTGATGGTCTTGCGTCCTGTCTCCGATCCGGAAAGGAGTTTTGGAATTTTGATGGCGTTGCTGTCTGGTCTCCGATTTGGCGCTTACTGTTGAGGTCCGAGTGCCCATTGCAATCTGGCGCTTGCTGTTGAGG